CTCTGGTACTATTCATCAACTTTAATCTCTGCTAGGCACCCTTCCAACTACCTGTTAAACTGGTTTGTTTTCTAATATTCTACTTCTATTTCACTACACAAACAGGGGGAGGTTGTGTTTCCTAATTGAAAAGTATCAACACCTCTTTGAGATTCTAGTAGACATATTTGAATTAATGTGTTTCCTACCTAGGTTACCATTTCTGTCTTCAACCTATAGGATCTTTACTCTCAAGCTGAGCATTTATCTTCCACAAGAATGTTTTAAAACAGACCAGAGCTCCTATACACACCATTACCCACACATTCACAGCAGCAACAAAAATGTTAAAATTATTTAGGAACAGCTTCAACAAAAATTTGCAACAACTGGGTTAATAAAGCAAACTGACAGACCTAAGTATATGAACAGATGACAATTCCTAGGTTATAAACAAGTTTTTAATTCAATGAAAAAAATGTAAACCCATGTGACTCTAAGGGAGTATCTGGAATAATACACAGACATACTTTTCAATGATGGGGTTTTTATTGTTGTTATTGCTGTTGTTTCCTCGGTACTGGGGACTGACCCCCAGAATTTTGCACCTTCTAGCAAGTGCTCTACCATTGAGCTACTCACCATTTTGCTTTAATCATTTCAGGTTCTTTTTGTGTCTTAGTTGTCAACAGGCAAGGGTTTAACAGCTTTTTGCCTGAGCTAACCTGGAACTCATCACTAATCCTCCTGACTCCACATACCAAGTAGCTGGGATTACAGGAGTTCATCACCATTGCGACATCAACTGAGACAAAGGGCAGTCATGAGACGTGTTTGAAATTACACAATTAAGTCAATGGCTGAAATGTAAACAGAGCCTAGGATCCCAACTGATAGTCTACTGCTCTCACTAATGGATCATGCTCCCTGCTATGCAATAGGACAGCTTCCTTTCATTTAGCATCTGAATATCAACCAGAAGCTTTATCATTAGTTTTGTTCCTCTTCATGGATTGTATTAGTCCAAGCTTTTTGGATTTTCATGATTTAAAAAAATTGTAAAACCAGTTTATTATATCATACTAAATCTGAAAACCACAACTGCCTGTGTCAAGCATCCTCTACCAAATCTGCATTTAGTGCCATTTTTTTCAGATAGAACTGTAATATTAGCTGCAATTTTTGCTTACTGATCTGAACAAAATGACTTCCACTTTCATATAATCATGCCATCTATGCACTCAAAGTATGACATTAACACATTCTAACTGTCCATAGTCAATAACATTGATATATCTGACCTGTATGTAAAAGACATCAGATACATGTTAGAGCACATATGATATTAGAAGTAGAATAAGAAGAAAATACAAGATGCTCCTACATTTTATGCTAAAATATGAAAAAGAGTTTACTGGGTAAAAAGAAGTAAATATCTGAAAAAAGATATTTAGACACTTGTCTTTGAAAAGCACTTTGTGTCTCTTTGGCACACATTATGGCAGCAATAGTAGCAGCAGCCTTGCCCTTGGTGCTGATTTCTTACTACTCTAAATGTCTCCTCTGAGCCAGAATACACTGGCTGTTGCTGATCATGCTGTGAGACACCTGCACTGGCTACTAGGCTTGTCATGACGCACAAAACCCTACCATCTTCAGCTTGACATTGTGCAAGTTATAATTATTCATCCAAATGAATATGTCAGAGCAGCAGCAGCAGACCTCTCATCAGAGCAAAAGAAAAATACATCAAAACATTATCAACTCAGCAGGACGACAGGGACCATAAGGAAAATTACCCATTTTTAATATGGCTGCCACAAAGCCATGTCTATTATATTACAAAAAAGAAAAAAAGAAAAGATCTTCCAAGTTTAAAGTCCAGAAACACTGAATCTAATGAGAAAACGTACAAAATCAGAGGTTTTTAAGTCAATTATCCGAAACTATTTACAATCTCTTAAGTATGAATGTACTATTAAATCAAGCATTCACATTGCTTAAGAGCCACAACTGTTTAAAAATGGTTAAAACTATAAATAACCTCCCCACACAGAACTGTTTCTAGCTTGTCAATAAAAATCAAACCAAAGTAATCTCACATTACCTCTTACTTTCAAAGCATAAGCTAATACTACCAGCACCCATGTCAAAAAACTTGAGTTTGAGTTGCTGGTACCATCAGCAAAAAGCCTTGTGAGGTACTGGTGGCCTTATTGTTTACTAATAAGTAAATAGTAGTTTGAAACTTTCTAAATTTTAATTTTATATGTAGAAAAACAAACTGGAATAATCCTCCCACTCTACAAATGAAGACTTCTCCACGTTCTATGAAAGAAAATACAATACAGACAAGGTTTAAATTCGGGTTTCTGTATTATGCTTAAGTAAATGTGAGGATCTTATAACTTTTAGAACTATCGTACCATATCTTTTCACAAAAAGATATGGAAATTTTTCTTATTTGAGATACAAAAACAAGAAAGGAAAAGATTGCTAAATGTAACTACACTGTAAGTTAAACTTACATACTACAAAATAATACGATGTATGCAGTTAAAACATAAACTAGAAAGAAGATATGTATATATCAAAAAGCCAACAAAGGCACTAGTATTCAAAATATGTAAGGACTGATTATACTAGAAGAAAAAAAATCAAGTAAGCAAAGATGACACACAAAAATTTTTGTCAATTCCTCAGATGAATGAAGGTCAGAAAGATCAGAATAAAACTTGAAAAAGGTTTGGGAAATAACAATTTCTATGTACAGTGAAACTGGAACATAACATATGCAGCCATTGGAAAGACAGTTCCACCTTATAAAGGCACATTCTCTAGAATCTAGTATTTTCACTTTTAGGAATGATTGATAATGAAATTCTTAGATGTGTGTACAGAGAAATATATAAAAGTGTTTATTTCAGGCTATTAGTAAGAAATTGTGAATAACCTTAACAATATGACAGTGGGTAAATTACCTGGTCAATACACATAATGGAATAATAAACAACATTTAAATAAATATATTAGACATACATAGATGGTCATGGATAAAACACTGAAATAATACTGCATAAAAAGCATAAGGCTGCATAAGAAATGTCACAAACAAACAAACAAAATGCCTGGATAACAAACATGCCAATTTCAGGGCAAGACATGTTGTTAAAAAGGAAGAGAAGCAGAGAAAAAGACTGTGAAAGGAGAATGGGATCTGTGCTGTTCCCAGAACACTGTTCCTAATGGAGAAAGAACCAGAGATGGATCTCAAGCAAGTGTGACAACACATTAACATCTGCCAAATTGGAGTTGTGAATAAAAGGTCTAATTTTACCTGCTAAGAATTTCCATATATTTAAAAATTTTAAATATTGTGATTTTCCTGTTACTAATGAATTCTATGTCTTCCTGGATCTTTCACAAAAAGGTAAACTTGTATGATTCAAATATAAAATTCAAATGTGCATCAATATAATGTTTATCTTATGCCTATTTATATAATTTGTTTTTCTGGATAACAAATTTGAAGGAAATTGCCCTCAAAGATTTTCCAATCTAGTAGTCATAAATTAATTTTGATACATGTAAACTTTTCCATAAAATCTGGGGGAAAAAACAAAAAGAAAATATAATAAATTAAGAAACTCATCAAAACTCTATTTTTCAATTGTAGAATAATGATAAGTATTAAAATGTAATTTAAACATAACGTCTAGAAAGAATAATCCAGATACATTTTCTTCTCACTTTTTTAAAGCAGAAAGATAAAGCCTCCAAAGCCAAGCAGAAAATGTGTATTTTTTAAATCAAGAAAGTTGAACAATATACTTTTAATTTTTGAAGAGGAAAAAAAATCAGCACAGTATTCAAAATAAATTTATAACATGGATCAAATACCAAAAATAAATCACCGAAGTTTTTTTCCTTTTCTTTATTTTGTTGTGTTTTCTTGATTTCTCTAAAGGAAATTGATATTTTTGTTGTTGTTGTCTTTAAAGAAGGAAGTAAAAAAAATTTATTTTTACTAAGTATGATTAAAACATCTGGACCCTCATAAAACTAAATTTCTTAAGCTTTTAAAGTCTATGTTCATGTATTTTAATGTTTATGCATGTGCAATTTAAAACATAAGCATGAATTTTTACTTGAACTTAATCAAATATTGTTAACAAAACATATTTACAGAACTAGGGAAAATATCAGTGTAAATTTTCTCTGCCTAAGAACAGAAATGTTTTCTCCTTCCTGCTATCAACTATAGTATAGTTGATAAAAGAAAGACAGTACATGTCATCATTAGACTGATCCTTGACTCTAGAGAAACAGTACCACAGTTTTAAAAATAAAAAAAATACTGTCTTGTAATACTGTCAGTTCACAATAAACTTCTGAAAACATAACCATATTATATACTATTAATGTACTGAAAATCAAATAGAATGAGAAAATTCCATAATCTTTACTCAGATGAATAGTCTAAGTTCAAAAAGAAAAGAAAATGCAAGATGAATTACATATTGTGGGAGGAGAAAACTGGGGAAATGCAAGGGAAGAGGTGATATTGTCCAAAAAAAGAAGAAATTTACTCATTATCTGACTTATAAAATGATAACCTTTCTATTAATACTGACAATAAAATTATATTTAAAAAACAAAAATATAAGTAACTTTAAAATAGTTAAGGTTCACACTTTCATTCTCCTGTGAAAATGGTTTCCTAGTATAATGTCATTAATGTTAAAAAAAATTTTAACAATAAGAAAAATTCCACTTATTACTCACTTACTACTACTGACTGCTTTCTAGAATTTAAATTTAAAAAAATGTTTACTGAAAATAAGGCACAAAAATTCAGAAGCTGATTGGTTGTATATATATGTGTGTATGTGTATATGCATGCATATGTGTATACATGTATGTAGAAAAGGAAAAACCATAAGAAGTGATCATTTAATAATGCACACTTTACTAAATAGAAGATTCTTTTTAAGTACTTAAAAATAAGCTTAAGCATTTACCTGTGGTGTCCAAGAAATAGAAAATGGAACAGGAAAATCCACAAAACAATCTGGTGGTTCCTCAGGGTGCTATGAAAAAAACAAGAGTATCAGGTTATTTCCACTTCTATGTGATAACTACATGAGGTATTTCAGAAAAACTGGTCACATTAAGAAACATAATTATGACTGCAAATGTATTTTATGTAAATAGACTGTACTTTTACAGTAATGTTGAGAGCTACCTAACACTGAAACTGTGTTCAGGACATACAAAGTTTGGTGACTCAAGGGTACCAAAACAGTCTGTGTTCAGAAATACTTAATGAGTTATACTCCAAATAAATGTCATGCCAACCGCTTAATAGACTTTGAGGAGTAAACTTAATTGCATCTAAGTTTTTCTTTAAAAGAAGAGATATTTTATTTAATTCCAATTTTAAATTTTATCTCAGTTATCCTCAATCACCATTAAAACAGGTAGAATGTGTTAACAGACTCAAGAAGTGCCCAGCACCAATTACATATAGCTTTCAATTTAAAAAGTGGCTTCTATATCAAAGAAAACTTATCAAGATGACAGAAAGAAACAATGGAACACCTTCTGATTTATTAAAGAACAATTAACAATCTAAACTAAACAAAAATTTCAAGTTAGTAAATAGTAGGAAATTACTCAGTTAAGAAAAAGGTGATAGTCATGAGAACAAATCAGGTTTCTAAGTTAACTAAGACAGAAGGTAAGTTTTTCTTAAAATTATTTCTCTTATTAGAAAGCTATACTTCATGATAACCTTAAAATCTAAGTCTAGAGTCTTCAATATCATAAATAACTAAAAATATTCTTTATTTAAAAACTAACTTTACTGAAAGAAGAATCATTTTAAGATAACTTTTATTTGGCAAGCTATTTGAATTACTTTTAGGCCTTTACTGTTTTTATTCTCTCATTTCTCATTACCTCACTGGATAAGGAATCGAGACTGAAAATTCACCACTACAGGGCCAGGCATGGAGGCACATCTGCAATCCCAGCTTTAGAGGAGGAAGAGATGGAAGAATCTCACATGGCTATCAGTCTGGACAAAAATGTTAGTGAGCTAGGAATGGAAGTTCATATCTCTAACCTCAGTTAAAAAGGAAGATTGCTGTACAAGGCCAGTCCCAGGCAAAAATATAAGACAACATCTACACAGTAACTAAAGCAAAGTATAGGTCAAATAGTAGAGACTTTGCCTAGATAGCTTGACACCCTGAGAACCACAAAGAAAAGTAAATAAAAACTATCAATATATGAAACAGACCTCAGTCCATTTGAGGCCAATATTTTCAAAAAGTACCAGTTTGCTAAAAAGAAATAGTTATCACTGTATGCTGACTCATGATGTCTACCTCTATAAAACTGGAAATAAATACACAAAAAATGCAAAATATTACAATGCTTAAATTCTAAAAGAAAAAAATTTAAAAAATGGTTAGTCTGAAATAAAGGTCTATTTGAGACAATACAAGAAGGATGTACTTGAAAGTTTAGGAGAAAAACAAACATCACCCTATTAAAAAGCCAGGTGATTAACTCAAAATATATGCAGACTCTTCAGTTCCCGTTGTTAAATAAAAAGTTTATCTTGGATAAATAATTTCACATGTAAGAATAACAGAATGACAGAAGTCAACTAAAAGTGTTATAAAAATCCCTTTAACTTCTAAAATGTCAGGATTCTTTAAAAATAATTACGTAAAATTGAAACTTCCTTGGGTCAAAAATGTAAATTTAGCTTACTTTAGGTACTGCTATTTATCTCCTACAGATACTAGCAGCTAACAGTATCAACTGTAGCTCAAATCATCAATCTAGATACAGCAAGAAGTTAACAAAATGCTTATTATATCTGGAGTAGATATATACCTAATAAAATGCCTGTGACCTTGAGTCATTAAGTATGTCCACAGTTTATTACACTGAGAGACTAAATATTACATTTAAGTAGGACGTGGAACAGTAAATGGTAAATAACATGGTAAATGACATGGAAAGAGATCCACAAAAAGAAAAAGTACAGGTTATAAATACAGTGTCATCAACTTACATAGTAAAATCTTTCAAATCATTAATACCCATTATAAGAACAGTTCATGAATGTTAAAAATAAAATAAAATTCATTAAATACAATTCAAGGCAGACTGGACTTAAAGCCCTATTTCTTTGGTAAGTACAAGAACTTATAAAAATGAGATCAGAATGTATTTAAAAATCTTTGGTCATCTTAGAATCAGGAAAGCAACTTTTCCCAAAGTCCAAAATAAAAACAAACCTCAATTTGAGAGAAACGACAGAATCCTTGCCACTGGCAGTATGTGACCTTTTGGAAAGATGAAGGCTGATTTTTCCCACATCTTAAAAAAGCACACCTTTAAAAACTTTAAAGGAATTTTTTATGTTAATGAAAACAATCATCTTCTTTTACAAATAAGATACATATCCTGATAATTTTTTTCAGCCTCTGTTATATATAGGTCTAAACCTGAATGGTCTGTGTGAAACTGGGAATAAGTCATTTCTCAAGCTGCGTGACACGGAGCTACTATAAGGTACCAGCTTCTCTGTGTCACCCACTATAGCTTTATATATTAATTTTCTTTTGCGGAAAGCTTAAATGCCAGACACATTTTTAAAAAGGACAAACACAATTGATCTTTTCACCACCACAATCCTCTGAAATAGAATTGATTGATGACTACTAGGAATAAAGAAAAGAAAGCTGGATGTCCTGGTTTCCTTAAAATTCTAATGTTTCCCCAGTGATTACTAAGTGAATGATGAATATGCTACTCTCCCTTATTCTACTCATTTCCTAAAATTCACAATCTAAACCTAAAAAATAAAGATAAAACAAAAATGTTTTGTGTCAATGGTATTAGTTGTTACATATATAATCATTAATATGTCTATAAAGGATCTACAAACACAGACACAACCCTTGTAAAGTCTCAAAATACATCCACCAAAAAAACTGCAGTTAGAACAAATAAGGACAGTATGTGTGCGTGCGTGTGTGTGTGTGTGTGTGTTTTAAGGACGGGGTTCTATGAGCCAGAAATAAGAACTACCAAGATAATTCATAGTAAGAGGTGAAGAAAAAAGACTCAAGAAGTTATTACTGGCGATGGTAGTATCATCCATTCTTTTCTATATATAAAGTTTCAAAAATAATGTTATGGTACTTTAAGGCTACTGAATGGTATATATAATATTTCTTTATTATAGAGTCTACATTGTGATCAAATTCAAGCTAAAACAAGGTCAGGAAATTATGCCTAGACTTGAAAACTTGGTGAATAAACTCTTTTGAGGTGCTCCAAAATCAATTTTTGAAAGCATTTTTAGAATAACTAGCACTCCTTTACATTGACAACAGCCAGAGTTCATTTCTCAAAGTTTTTCCTCACCACAATAAGAGTTGAATGAGGCACATACCTTTGCCTTCAACTTGACAGTGATTAGATGCTCTCTACCAGAAACATCTTCTGATTTTAACTTGATGGTACTAAAGCAAGAATCCACGTATACAAGTCTGGTGAGTAGAAGAGAATAAAAAAATGATAACACTATGGTGGGTTACGGAGCAAGGGGATGAGCATCATATGACCTGAAGTGAAAATACTTGCTATATTCCTATTAATCCATTACAAAAATTAATCAGAAGAATTTCTGCATGCCAGCCCTCTCTGTTGCTGCAGATTTACTGCCGTTAATACAGCAGCCCAGTGCCTAATGCAGCCGTATCTCTGGATTATTTACAGTGCGTGTCAAGGCTCATGCTGTGGTCAGTGAGCACTGTGTTTCGGTTTTCCATCACTGGAACCTTTGGCACACACCGCATGTTTCTGTCAGACTCTACTTATGTACACATTAAACTTCCTGTCAAACTCTTTGATCCATTTCTGTAGTTTCATATGGTGAGAGACTTTTATACTTCCTTTATTTGTTTTTCTCCTCAATGAACTTCTCCTTTATTATCAATAATGTAACTGTATAAAAATCTGGCCGATATTAGTTCTATGCTCAAATTGAACCTCCAAGGAAAATGTTGTATAAGCTCAGGTACAGCTTGGCCTCCTAACAATAAATGTTCTTTTTGCACAATATATAGCTCTGACACTTAACTTAGGCATGCATTCAAGATGACTAATATTTTAAACACACAGTGCCAACCCAATTGTTCTGGCTTTAAGTTGCTCTAAATATCATGTATTTTCTACAATGGCAACCAATATACTTTGAAATACATCATTCTGCAAAAATACAGTACCTTGAATGGCATAGGTTATTGTCAAAATGCTTCAAATTTAACAGTATACTTAGTAGTGAACTGCATGTGGATACTTCTTGACGTTTTTACAATGCTATATTCTTGTAAAGATAAAAAGTACTGAGAGTACTGTGCAAATTATCACCCAGACTGAGGGTAGGACACACTATAGTTCAGAACATTAGCCTCCTAACCTAGATGACATTTTTAAACATCACTTTAGTCCATTTAGTTGCTGACCAGGTATATATTAAAATGAGTCAATTACAATAAATGCTGTGAAATAAAGTTGTTGAATGAAAAATAAATGTTAAGCTGAAAAAGACACATATGTTCAAAATGGAATAAAATATAAAATAAAGAGTACTGAAAAAAGTTTTCTCATAACAATTAAAAGCTACAGTTTTAGGAAAGAAATGAACATAAAATTATTCTAGAAAAAAATGTTCATCTACATAAAAATATCAGTGACTACACATGGCTAATCTCTATTATTTTCAGCTACACATTAAACTCCCCACTGCCCAAATATTTGAATATGAGCCTTTTGGAGTTTTGTGCTGATTTTCAGGCTTGAATTCAGAACTTCATTCTCTTGCTCAGCTTCTTCTGCTCCTGGCTGGAATTCCATCACTTGAGCCACTCTTTCAACCCAACTTTTTTGCTGGTTAATTGGGGACTGAGTCCTGTGGACTTTTCTGTCTGGGCTTACTTTGGAAAAAGATCCTCAGATCTTTTTATTTATGCTAACCAACTTATAATTCCTGAAATTGATAAATCAAGAAATACTCATTGTTGATATTATTTATAGGCATGAACATTTCAAAATGTTTGTGTCTAAGAATAGGATTGCAGGTAGGAAAAAATACTTCTCATTTTAAGCCCTATAGTGGCAACTGTGAGACAGAGAATGCACACTAGTAGGATGGTGGAAAGAGAAGAAAAAGAATTAAACCACTAATTTATACTTTTCATACTTCATGTTGCTTCTCATCAACAAAATACTCAACAACATTACTGGACATCTATAAAAGAAATAAGAGCTCTAGTCTTTTGTCTGCAATCACAAAAACGTAAAATTATCATCATTCCACACTTAACACATCGAGATAATAAACTAGCAAATAAAAGTACCATTCTCAAAAACAGGGCCTGTAAGTCAAAATGGCCATGAGGTTAATTTTGTTAAACTTTTAAAAGTATTGCAATTCAAAAAATAAGTAGTGGGGAAAAAAACCCCTCTTAATTTCAGGTAATCACATCTCACACCACAGTCATCTGAAATTAAGAAAGATTTCACCCATGTTAATTCCTGGCTACTTTGGGATTGGAGGATTGAAACCTTACTGTGATTATTATCACCTTCAGGATGAATGAAGGAGATTGCCAATTGTCCTCTAGTGTCTATTCTTACCTTCTCTAACTTAATCACCATGTAGCAGGGTAGAGTCCATCTACCTACAGATTCTTTTTGGCTGCCCTTCTAGCAAGATGTCACCATAGAACTAAATTTTGGCCAGAGGACTGCAAACAGAAGGGATATGTGCATCTTTTGGATCATTTACAACAAAACTGCCTCCCCCTCTCCCTTCCTCTCATTCTCCCCTCCAGTGGACTGGCAAGGCCAGGCCAGGCCAATATGAGCCAGCAAAGGCAATGAGATAGAATGATAGCACAGTGTTGACCAACAGAGCCTTCTGGGATGATGGAAGTAATCCTATTGTCTGAAACAGTAACCACCTGCAACATATGAGCAGGGAAAACTTTAAAACATGGCTATTATGACAGTTTTAAGGTTAATTTTACTATAAATATTAACAGCCATAACAGGCCCCAAGGCAATGAGACAGAATAACCACAGCAACTAGCTGAACACCAAGTTCAAAGAAAGCTTGGGACCCGAGGACTAGTACTACTACAACTATTTAAAAGTCCCTTGGTTCCCGAGTCTCTTCTGGCAGACTCTGCCTGGCCCAATTAGCTCTCCCCTGGAATCCTAACGACTTTGGAGGTTGAAAGTAAAAAAGATCATGGTTCAAGCCTGACCCAAACAGAAAGTTCACATAGCCTTACCTCAAAAATAATTAGCAAAAACATTATTACAGATATGGTTCAAATGGTAGAGCACCATCCTAGCAAGTGTGAGATCTGAGTTCAAACCCCATTAGCAGATAGGAAAAACAAAACAACAAAGAAAAAACTCAAGACCTTCAACTTAACAAAGCATCCACTTCTACTTTTACCACCACATTTAAGTTTAAACATTAATTACTTCATTCCTAGATAATTTACATTGACTGGTGGGTGTATTTACTTCATATCTCTCCTGTACAGCAATCTTTCCAATCTTCCTACAGATTTTTGCCTTTCTATATACAGTTAAAAATCCCTTGCTCAAAATGTTCAGAGTTCCCATCATCTTCATATATAGAATATTCAGCCTAGCAGTCTAGATCCTTCCCTCCAGCCCCAATATTTGATCTCCTTATGTGAACTGATCTACTCCAAGGTCCAAAAATGAATTACATATTTCCTTCACCTTCACTTTGCCTCCATCATTCCCTGCTGCTTATGGTTCACTGCATTCCTTCCCACCGAATACAATACCTATGTCCTATAAGAACTTCCTAAAATTATTTGTAGGACAGAAGTACTTCACCTTTATCTAGGCTCACATTTCTTCTTTTAAGTTGTAAGTGGTCATTCAATGTTTGTGGGGTACTATTTTGTTTGTAGTTTGTTTGTTGCAGTATCAAGGACTGAACTCAGGCTCAATGCTTGCTAGGCACATAGCTCTTTCACCTCATCAGCATCCCCAGTTCTTTTGTGGTTTTGTTTGCTTTTCAGATAGAGTTTACCCCTTCAGCCAGGGCTAGCCTAGGACCACGATCCTTCCATCTCCACCTTCTAGAGCTGGGAAAACTCTGCTTCCTCAAATAAGCTTGCCTGCTAAAGAATACTTTCTATTTCTATATAAATGTATTTATATTTCTGCTAATGCTTTATGTATAGACATGAACATATAGACACTATTATGAGACTGGTTTATTATTCACTGACATATGTGCAAGTATTAAGTAACAACTAAATGCAAACTGTTTAAGTTAAACATTATTAATTTTTAAAACTAATTATTTTACTACTATATAATTTGTACTTATTCAATGCTCAGTATACATGTATGGGGGAAATTTTCCCAATTAATGAAGAGAATTTAGAATGAAAATCATAGTAATTAAATTGTAAAGGTGATTTACAGAGGGGTTACTATTACATAAGTAAGGTAATGAGTACATTTATTTTTGAACAATGACAACTCTCTCTCATTCTCTCCCAGTTTTTCCTGTCCAACACCCCTCATCCACAAGTTGTACAGTTCATTTCCAACAGTATAGTGACTATCACTACTGCATTTGTTCACCCTCTGTCCCACCATTTCTGTGCTCCTCCTTACCCTCCTCCCAAATGATAAACTTACATATAAGACAAAAGGTACAGGAAACAAGAACAGTGGCAAAAGAGAAAAAAAGAAAAAAAGAAGCAACATGACATAAAATCTATTGTTTTCATTTCTTGTAGTTCATTTCAATAAACATCATTTCATATGATCATATACCCATAGCTATTTGAGCCTTTGTGATCCTCTCCTAAAAATATCTTCCTTGGGTCTCACTGTGTGAATGTCAAGTCCTGTATAATTTATCATGTCCAAGTGTATTGTTTTGTCTTTTACCATCCTGTGACTGGATAAATGGAAGTGCATCAAACTGAAGAGTTTCTGCATGGCAAATGTTATACCTAGCAAGATAAATAGAAAGCCCACAGAATGGAAGATTTTACTAGCTATGCATCAGACAAAGGCCTCATATCTAAAATATACTTAGAGCTCAAAAAATTAAACTCTCCCAAAATAAGCCCTTAAAAACCAACAACTCCATAAATGGGCTAAAGAGTTAAAGAGAGACTTCTCAGAAGAAGGAAGAACGACCAACAGATATATGAAGAAATCTCTGGCCACAAAAGAAATGCAACATTAAGATTCCACCTCACCCCAGTTAGAATGGCAATTATCAAGAAAACTAACAATAAAAGATTCTGGCAGGGATGTGGCCAAAAGGAAATGCTACTACACTGTTGGTAAGAATGTCAACTTGTTCAACCACTCTGGAAAGCAGTATGGAGGTTCCTCAAAAGACTAAACATAGAGCTTCTCTAGCACCCAGCAATTCCACTCCACCACAAATCAGGCCACACTAAACATG